CTGAAGATAAGGGAGGTCGTGTTAAAACAGCGACACCAAGTGTGTTTATGTGTGTGTGTGTGTATGAGTGTGTGTGTGTGTGTATGAGTGTGTGTGCGTGTGTGCGTATGTGTATGAGTGTGTGTGTGTGTGTGTGTGTGTGTGTGTGTGTGTGTGTGTGTGTGTATGTGTGTGTGTGCGTGTGTGTGTGTGTATGAGTTTGTGTGTGTGTGTGTGACAACAATCAATATTTGCACCAATAACTCAGTACAGTTGTGACCGGGTGTGGAAGTGTGAATTGCTCATTACTCTAAAATTTGATCATGATTGTAGCCATGTATAAACGTAAGTAACCATTCTACAGTATTCATTACCTTTGTAACTTGTGAGTTCATTACCTTTGTACCTAGTTCAGCTATCAAAACTTTGGGGGCCCAGTCCCTGGACCCATTACGTACCTCTGTAATCTGTAAATACCTTTGTAATTTGTCATGATTGTGACTAGACCTACCTGGAGTTCATTACCTTTGTAAATTGTGAGTTCATTACATTTGTAAATTGTGAGTTCATTACCTTTGTAAATTGTGAGTTTATTACCTCTGTAACTTGCTCAGCTATCAAAACTTTGGAGTCCAGTCCCTGGCCAATTATGTACCTCTGTAATCTTTTGACTACCGCCCACAGGATGGGTATGGGGTGCATAATAAACATATTAAACTAACAAGACTACCTGGCTGTCACCATCATCTACAATATTGAGAGTAACACCAACAAGACCACCACCACCACAATCAATATGACCGGAATGACTCAAGGAATCACAATAAGATTGTAAACATACCAGGGAACAGGTGGGGATTTGAACCCATGGCCGGTGCGTAAACCAGTGCTTAACACCACAAAACCTATCACAGACTTTAGTACCAGAAACGCGATCAACACCACCACCAAATGAATAAATGCTCTAAACACACATGTCTTGAAATGTCGCATTTCCGACATTATTGACAAAAAGACACACATTGCAGAACAAGCTTTTATTGAAACAACGTTTCGCTCAGAAGCTTTAAATGTATAGTAAGGAAACATACAAAGAAGAGGTATAAGTAAGGTAAGATTCACCGGGACACAGGAAAAGTGTTGCCTGAGCAGAGTCTGTCACGTGATGACTGAGGTCTGAGACTGACTTAAAGTTCCACCCCTTTGACAACGAACCATCCTACACAAGTACAGCAAGGAGAGTTACACAGGTACAAGGAGAGCTACACAGGTACAAGGAGAGCTACACAGGTACAAGGAGAGCTACAGAGGTACAGCAAGGAGAGCTACACAGGTACAAGGAGAGCTACACAGGTACAAGGAGAGCTACACAGGTACAAGGAGAGCTACACAGGTACAGCAAGGAGAGGTACACAAGTACAGCAAGGAGAGCTACACAGGTACAAGGAGAGCTACACAGGTACAAGGAGAGCTACACAGGTACAAGGAGAGCTACACAGGTACAAGGAGAGCTACACAGGTACAGCAAGGAGAGGTACACAAGTACAGCAAGGAGAGCTACACAGGTACAAGGAGAGCTACACAGGTACAAGGAGAGCTACACAGGTACAAGGAGAGCTACACAGGTACAGCAAGGAGAGCTACACAGGTACAAGGAGAGCTACACAGGTACAAGGAGAGCTACACAAGTACAGCAAGGAGAACTACACAGGTACAAGGAGAGCTACACAGGTACAAGGAGAGCTACACAGGTACAAGGAGAGCTACACAGGTACAAGGAGAGCTACACAGGTACAGCAAGGAGAGGTACACAAGTACAGCAAGGAGAGCTACACAGGTACAGCAAGGAGAGCTACACAAGTACAGCAAGGAGAGCTACACAGGTACAGCAAGGAGAGTTACACAGGTACAGCAAGGAGAGCTACACAAGTACAGCAAGGAGAGCTACACAGGTACAGCAAGGAGAGCTACACAAGTACAGCAAGGAGAGCTACACAGGTACAGCAAGGAGAGCTACACAGGTACAGCAAGGAGAGCTACACAGGTACAGCAAGGAGAGCTACACAGGTACAGCAAGGAGAGCTACACAAGTACAGCAAGGAGAGCTACACAGGTACAGCAAGGAGAGCTACACAGGTACAGCAAGGAGAGCTACACAAGTACAGTAAGGAGAGCTACACAGGTACAGCAAGGAGAGTTACACAGGTACAAGGAGAGCTACACAGGTACAGCAAGGAGAGTTACACAGGTACAAGGAGAGCTACACAGGTACAGCAAGGAGAGTTACACAGGTACAAGGAGAGCTACACAAGTACAAGGAGAGCTACACAGGTACAAGGAGAGTTACACAGGTACAAGGAGAGCTACACAGGTACAAGGAGAGCTACACGGGTACAAGGAGAGCTACACAGGTACAGCAAGGAGAGTTACACAGGTACAGCAAGGAGAGCTACACAGGTACAAGGAGAGCTACACAGGTACAGCAAGGAGAGTTACACAGGTACAAGGAGAGCTACACAGGTACAGCAAGGAGAGTTACACAGGTACAAGGAGAGCTACACAAGTACAAGGAGAGCTACACAGGTACAAGGAGAGTTACACAGGTACAAGGAGAGCTACACAGGTACAAGGAGAGCTACACGGGTACAAGGAGAGCTACACAGGTACAGCAAGGAGAGTTACACAGGTACAGCAAGGAGAGCTACACAGGTACAAGGAGAGTTACACAGGTACAAGGAGAGCTACACAGGTACAAGGAGAGTTACACAGATACAAGGAGAGCTACACAGGTACAAGGAGAGTTACACAGGTACAAGGAGAGCTACACAGGCACAGCAAGGAAAGCTACACAGGTACAAGGAGAGCTACACAGGTATAGCAAGGAGAGCTACACAGGTACAGCAAGGAGAGCTACACAGGTACAAGGAGAGTTACACAGGTACAAGGAGAGCTACACAGGTACAGCAAGGAGAGCTACACAGGTACAGCAAGGAGAGCTGCACAGGTACAGCAAGGAGAGCTACATAGGTACAGCAAGGAGAGCTACACAGGTACAGCAAGGAGAGCTACACAGGTACAGCAAGGAGAGCTACACAGGTACAGCAAGGAGAGCTACACAGGTACAGAAAGGAGAGCTACACAGGTACAGCAAGGAGAGCTACACAGGTACAGCAAGGAGAGCTACACAGGTACAAGGAAAGCTACACAGGTACAGCAAGGAGAGCTACACAGGTACAAGGAGAGCTACACAGGTACAGCAAGGAGAGCTACACAGGTACAGCAAGGAGAGCTACACAGGTACAGCAAGGAGAGCTACACAGGTACAGCAAGGAGAGCTACACAGGTACAGCAAGGAGGGCTACACAGGTACAGAAAGGAGAGCTACACAGGTACAGCAAGGAGAGCTACACAGGTACAGCAAGGGGAGCTACGCAGGTACAGCAAGGAGAGCTACACAGGTATAGCAAGGAGAGCTACACAGGTACAGCAAGGAGAGCTACACAGGTACAGCAAGGAGAGCTACACAGGTACAGCAAGGAGAGCTACACAGGTACAGCAAGGAGAGCTACACAGGTACAGCAAGGAGAGCTACACAGGTACAGCAAGGAGAGCTACACAGGTACAGCAAGGAGAGCTACACAGGTACAGCAAGGAGAGCTACACAGGTACAGCAAGGAGAGCTACACAAGTACAGCAAGGAGAGCTACACAGGTACAGCAAGGAGAGCTACACAGGTACAGCAAGGAGGGCTACACAGGTGCAGCAAGGAGAGCTACACAGGTACAGCAAGGAGAGCTACACAGGTACAGCAAGGAGAGCTACACAGGTGCAGCAAGGAGAGCTACACACGTACAGCAAGGAGAGCTACACAGGTACAGCAAGGAGAGCTACACAGGTACAGCAAGGAGAGCTACACAGGTACAGCAAGGAGAGCTACACAGGTACAGCAAGGAGAGCTACACAGATACAGCAAGGAGAGCTACACAGGTACAGCAAGGAGAGCTACACAGGTACAGCAAGGAGAGCTACACAGGTACAGCAAGGAGGGCTACACAGGTGCAGCAAGGAGAGCTACACAGGTACATCAAGGAGAGCTACACAGGTACAGCAAGGAGACCTACACAGGTACAGCAAGGAGAGCTACACAGGTACAGCAAGGAGAGCTACACAGGTTCAGCAAGGAGAGCTACACAGGTACAGCAAGGGGAGCTACACAGGTACAGCAAGGAGAGCTACACAGGTACAGCAAGGAGAGCTACACAGGTACAGCAAGGAGAGCTACACAGGTACAGCAAGGAGAGCTACACAGGTACAGCAAGGAGAGCTACACAGGTACAGCAAAGAGAGCTACACAGGTACAGCAAGGAGAGCTACACAGGTACAGCAAGGAGAGCTACACAGGTACAGCAAGGAGAGCTACACAGGTACAGCAAGGAGAGCTACACAGGTACAGCAAAGAGAGCTACACAGGTACAGCAAGGAGAGCTACACAGGTACAGGTAGAAGAGCTGGAAAATTAAAATTTCACACACTAAATGACAACAGAATATCGTCATTGTAAATATAAATTGATTGACTCATTATATTCATAGGAAAATGCTAAACCCACAAGGGTCATACAGCACTTAGAGAATCTGAGGAAATCATGCTCGAGGCAAGGCAGGCGGGGACACCTCCAATTCCTCGGATCTAGAGCCCTCCACCAACATCGAAGCTCCTCTTATCAAAAATCAGGAAAAAGGCTAGAAAAATTAATTTTTTTTTTGGTATGTAGTTTTATGTGAGACAACTTACTGCCTTGTGTTAACTACTTAACACACAGCTTAACTACTTAACACACAGCTTAACTACTTAACACACTGCTTAACTACTTAACACACAGCTTAACTACTTAACACACTGCTTAACTACTTAACACACTGCTTAACTACTTAACACACTGCTTAACTACTTAACACACTGCTTAACTACTTAACACACAGCTTAACTACTTAACACACAGCTTAACTACTTAACACACA